GATTAGTTCCGTTCAAAGAATTGGAATTGAATTACCTTGGAATTCCTTGTATTTGGGTGAATGGAAGCAAAATGAGAAATACCTAGAAAATTGAGATGAGTTTGAAGAAGCTCCTTATACAGATTTATATATATCTAATCAAAATTAATCTAATAGTATGTATGTGTATGTATATCTTCTATATATACACTCACATACGAGTAGTTGTGTTTGTATATGAAACAATGATTGGGGTTTAAGTAAAAATGAGGGGAGAGAGAGAGAGAGAGGCGTTTGAGGGGATTTCATTCGTCGAACGACTTCTACATATTAAACATGAGACATTCCTTGGGTTTTCTTGGGTTCCTTCTCAACGGAATAACCGTTTGGCAGTTATGTGTTCTGGTAATGGAAGTTTCGTCATTTCACTGCACCTTTATAGCTTCCAAAATAAGGGATGTGATTAATGTACCACCACTTGGCATGACTATAAATAGTGCCGAAGACTTGTGATCCCTTCATGCAAAGATCAAGCGGTTGAAAGTAGGGGCATTTGACGGATTCAAAGACTACATTCGAATGAAAATCTATCAGAAACAATTTCTGAGAAAAGAAATAGAGAAAAATGGGGTTTGAGATTAGTTCCTTTCAAAGAATTGGAATTGAATTACCTTGAAATTCCTTGTATTTGGGTGAATGGAAGCAAAATGAGAAATACCTAGAAAATTGAGATGAGTTTGAAGAAGCTCTTTATACAGATTAATATGCATCTGATCAAAATTAATCTAATAGTATGTATCTGTATGTATATCTTCTATATATACACTCACATACGAGCAGTTGTGTTTGTATACGAAATAATGATTGGGGTTTAAGTAAAAATGAGAGGAGAGAGAGAGAGAGGCATTTGAGGGGATTTCATTCGTCGGATGACTTCTACATATTAAACACGAGACATTCCTTGGGTTTTCGTGGGTTCCTTCTCAACGGAATAGCCGTTTGACAGTTATGTGTTCTGGTAATGGAAGTTTCGTCATTTCACTGCACCTTTATAGCTTCCAAAATAAATGATGTGATTAATGTACCACCACTTGGCATGACTATAAATAGTGCTGAAGACTCGTGATCCCTTTATGCAAAGATCAAGCGGTTGAAAGTAGGGGCATTTGACAGATTCATAGACTACATTGGAATGAAAATCTATAACAAACAATTTCCGAGAAAAGAAATAGAGAAAAATGGGGTTTGAGTTTAGTTCCTTTCAAAGAATTGGAATGGAATTACCTTGAAATTCCTTGCATTTGGGTGAATGGAAGCAAAATGAGAAATACCTAGAAAATTGAGATGAGTTTGAAGAAGCTCTTTATACAGATTTATATATATCTGATCAAAATTAATCTAATAGTATGTATCTGTACGTATATCTTCTATATATACACTCACATACGAGCAGTTGCGTTTGTATACGAAATAATGATTGGGGTTTAAGTAAAAATGAGGGGAGAGAGAGAGAGAGAGGCGTTTGAGGGAATTTCATTCGTTGGACGCCTTTTACATATTAAACACGAGACATTCCTTGGGTTTTCTTGGGTTCCTTCTCAACGGAATAACCATTTGGCAATTATGTGTGCTGGTAATGGAAGTTTCGTCATTTCACTGCACCTTAATAGCTTCCAAAATAAAGGATGTGATTAATATACCACCACTTGGCTTGACTATAAATAGTGCCGAAGACTCGTGATCCCTTTATGCAAAGATCAAGCGGTTGAAAGCAGGGGCATTTGATGGATTCAGAGACTACATTCGAATGAAAATCTATCACAAACAATTTAAGAAATAGAGAGAAATGGGGTTTGAGATTAGTTCCTTTCAAAGAAATGGAATTGAATTACCTTGGAACTACCTGCGTTTGGGTGAATGGAAACAAAATGAGAAATACCCAGAAAATTGAGATGAGGTTGAAGAAGCTCCTTATACAGATTGATATATATCTAATCTAAATTAATATAATGGTATGTATCTGTATGTATATCTTCTATATATACACACATATACGAGCAGTTGTGTTTGTACAGGAAACAACGATTAGGGCTTAAGTAAAAATGAGAGGAGAGAAGAGAGAGAGAGGAAGGGCGTTTGAAAGGATTTCTTTTGTCGGACGCCTTCTAAATATTAAACACAAGACATTCATTGGGATTTCTTGGCATTCCTTGATAACATACACAAGTCCTATGGTTAAGAAATCTCGTAACATCCTTAATTCCTATCTCTCAATGTTCGCTAATATTGCTAAGCAACCAAATAAATCATCATATATATATATATACACAAGGACAAATAAAAAACAAATACATCAATTTTTACGAAGTTGACATTGAAATATTAAAATGGATTGGAAAAAAATATGAAGAAAAATATAAATAATTTCAATATTAGATTTTGAAAACCCAAAAGTAGTTGAATCATACTTGTGAAAAGCAAAAACAAAACAAAACAAAACAAAACCCAAGAAACAATTGTGCCGAAGACTCGTGATTCCTTTATGCAAAGATCAAGAGGTTGAAAACAGGGGCAGTTGACGGATTCAGAGACTACATTCGAATGAAAATCTATCACAAACAATTTCAAGGAAAAGAAATAGAGAGAAATGAGGTTTGAGATTAGTTCCTTTCAAAAGAAATGGAATTGAATTACCATGGAATTCCCTGCATTTGGGTGAAAGGAAACACAATGAGAAATACACAGAAAATTGAGATGAGATTGAAGAAGCTCCTTATGCAGATTTATATATATCTAATCTAAATTAATCTAATAGTATGTATGTGTATGTATATCTTCTATATATACACTCACATACGAGCAGTTGTGTTTGTAAAGGAAACAATGATTAGGGTTTAAGTAAAAATGAGGAGAGAGAGAGAGAGAAAGAGGTGTTTGAGGGGATTTCTTTCGTCGGATGCCTTCTATATATTAAACACGAGGCATTCCTTTGGATTTCTTGGGTTCCTTCTCAACGGAATAACCGTTTGGCAGTTATGTGTTCTGGTAATGGCAGCTTCGTCATTTCACTGCGCCTTTATTCCTTCCAAAATAAAGGATTTGATTAATGTACTACCACTTGGCTTGAGTATAAACAGTGCCGAAGACTCGTGATCCCTTTATGCAAAGATCAAGCAGTTAAAAGTAGGGGCATTTGACGGATTCAGAGACTGCATTCGAATGAAAATCTATTACAAACAATTTCCAGGAAAAGAAACAGAAAGAAATGGGGTTTGAGATTAGTTCCTTTCAAAGAAATGGAATTGAATTACCTTGGAATTGCCTGCGTTTGGGTGAATGAAAACAAAGGCCTCGTTTGGGAAGTGTCTATTTTAGTAGACTATTTGGCTTTTTGGCTATTTTAGTAAGCTATTTTGGTTTTTGTGTTTGGGAAGATGAGATGGATTTTATTTGAGTTGTTGTATTGAAAAATGTGTTGAAATGATGTTTGAAATTAGAATGACAAATTTGTCCCTAAAAATATATTTTTTTAAATTGCTGTCAAGGGGTAAAATCGTAATTTATGCACTGATAGAACAATTTCTGTAGCTGACAGTGTAGGCCGTGCCTACACTGCCGGCTGTGCAGCCTATTTTTATTTATTTATTTATTTTTTTGGAAAAAGCTTGCAACAGTGGGCTTTTTGGCTAAATTTTCATTTTAGGCTATAATAGCCTCTTTAGCCACTTCCCAAACAGTGCCAAAATGAGAAATACCCAGAAAATTGAGATGAGGTTGTAGAAGCTCCTTATACAGATTTATATATATCTAATCTAAATTAATCTATTAGTATGTATGTGTATGTACACCTTCTACATATACACACACATACGAGCAGTTGTGTTTGTATAGGAAACAACGATTAGGGCTAAAGTAAAAATGAGGGGGGTGAGAGAGAGAGAGAAAGAGGGGGGGCGTTTGAAACGATTTCTTTCGTCGGACGACTTCTAAACATTAAACACGAGACATTCCTTGGGATTTCTTGGGATCCTTCCCAACAGAATAACTGTTTGGCCGTTATGTGTGTTGGTAATGGCATTTTGTTAGTTGTCTATAGATATATATACAAATACAAATGAAAAACAAATATATCAATTTTTTAAAAGTTGGCATTGAAATATTCAAATGGATTGGAAAAAAATATCAAGAACAATATAAATAATTTCAATGTTCTGGGTATTTATTCGATGTCTTTATTTTATCTATTTTTTGATTGGGAAATGATCATATCAATAAGTTGAAGAACAGTTGGAAACAAAAAGACTCTTTGATTGATTCGTTTTTAGAACCAACTAGAAATCAACAAATTCATGACATTTTATTTCATTTCATTTTTTTCGTGAAACTTCTTTCACATCCATTAATTCTTGCTCATAAGTTCACGCATTGAAGAGTATGAATCGCCATCATCGCTAATTTTTCTTACATATTCAACTGTTTAGGATTATTTGTGTAGCCTTTGAATTATCACCAGCCATTTTTATTCGATGATCATATCGTTATTGTTTGAAAGCTGAAAATGATCCTATTATTATTATTGACTATTAGTATACTATATTTAGTTTTTTGGCTTTGTATTAACAAAAAATTGCATATGTAAAAATTAAAAGGGTAACCATGCCAAAGTTTTAAAAAATAAAATTTGATTAGCTTGTACCACACAAGACATTTTAAAAAGACTAGCACCAACAATTTCACAAAACATATTTGAGTCAACTTCAATTGCAATTCTGTTCTTACCAATATTGACACCAAAATCGAAGCTCTTCGATCTCAACACTGTTCTTCTCAACTGTTTGAAACACTCAAACGCACGATATGCAGATCCAGGGACCAGACAGCCAATCAAACATGTAAGAATCTGCCTTTAATTAGGTCAACAATCCAAGAATATTCATTTAAGAAAAAAAAGAAGAAAAAACGAAAAAGAAAAAACAGGGAATCAAACAGTGGCAGAAAAGAAGGATCGGTTGATAACATACACAAGTCCTCTGGTGAAGAAATCTCCCAACATCCTTAATTCCTATCTCTCAATGTTTGCTAATATTCCTAAGAAACCAAATAAATCATCGTATATATAAACACAAGTAAAAATGCAAAACTAATACATCAATTTTTACAAAGTTGACAATGAAATATTAAAATGGATTGGAAAAAGATATCAAGAAAGACATAAATAATTTCAAAATTAGAATTTGAAAACCCAAAAGTAGTTGAATCATACTTGTGAAAAGCAAAAACAAAACAAAACAAAACAAAACCCAAGAAGCAATTGTGCCGAAGACTCGTGATCCCTTTATGCAAAGATCAAGCGGTTGAAAACAGGGGCAGTTAACGGATTCAGAGACTACATTCGAATGAAAATCTATCACAAACAATTTCCAGGAAAAGAAACAGAGAGAAATGGGGATTGAGATTAGTTCCTTTCAAAGAAATGGAATTGAATTACCTTGGAATTCCCTGCATTTGGGTGAATGGAAACAAAATGAGAAATACCCAAAAAATTGAGATGAGATTGAAGAAGCTCCTTATATAGATTGATATTTATCTAATCTAAATTAATCTAATAGTATGTATGTGTATGTATATCTTCTATATATACCTCAAATACGAGCAGTTGTGTTTGTATAGGAAACACGATTGGGGTTTAAGTAAAAATTAGTGGAGAGAGAGAGGCGTTTGAGGAGATTTCTTTCGTCGGATGCCTTCTAAATATTAAACACAAGACATTCCTTGGGATTTCTTGGGTTCCTTCTCAACGGAATAGCCGTTTGGCAGTTATGCGTTCTGGTAATGGCAGTTTCGTCATTTCACTGCGCCTTTATACCTTCCAAAATAAAGGATTTGATTAATGTACCACCACTTGGCTTGAGTATAAACAGTGCTGAAGACTCGTGATGCCTTTATGCAAAGATCAAGCAGTTGAAAGTAGGGGCATTTGACAGATTCAGAGACTACATTCGAAGGAAAATCTATCACAAACAACTTCCAAGAAAAGAAACAGAAAGAAATGGGGTTTGAGATTAGTTCCTTTCAAAGAAATGGAATTGAATTACCTTGGAATTCCCTGCGTTTGGGTGAATGGAAACAAAATGAGAAATACCCAGAAAATTAAGATGAGGTTGTAGAAGCTCCTTATACAAATTTATATATATCTAATCTAAATTAATCTATTAGCATGTATGTGTATGTAAATCTTCTATATATACACACACATACGAGAAGTTGTGTTTGTATAGGAAACAACGATTATGGCTTAAGTAAAAATGAGTGGGGAGAGAGAGAGAGAGAAAGAGGGGTGTTTGAAAGGATTTCTTTCGTCGGACGCCTTCTAAATATTGAACACGGGACATTCCTTGGGATTTCTTGGGTCCCTTTCCAACGGAATAACCGTTTGGCAGTTATGTGTGCTGGTAATGGCATTTTCGTTATTTTTATATAGATATATATACAAATAAAAATGAATAACAAATATATCAATTTTTACAAAGTTGACATTGAAATATTCAAATGGATTGGAAAAAAGTATCAAGAACAATATAAATAATTTCAATGTTCTGGGTATTTATTTTATGTCTCTATTTTGTTTGTTTTTTGATTGGGAATTGATCACATCAATAAGTTGAAGAACAGTTGGAAACGAAGAGACTCTTTGATTGATTCATTTTTAAAACCAACTAGAAATCAACAAATTCATGACATTTTATTTCATTTCATTTTTTTCATTAAACTTCTTTCACACCCATTAATTCTTGCGCATTGATGAGTATGAATCGCCATCATCACTAATTTTTCTTACATATGCAATTGTTTTGGATTATTTGTTCAGCCTATGAATTATCACCAGGCATTTTTATTCGACGATCATGTCGTTATTGTTTGAAGCTGAAAATGATCCTATTATTATTATTGACTATAAGCATACTATATTAAGTTTTTTGGATTAGATACTATAAATCTGTTCGTTTCCAATTGTCAAAGAAGCTCCTTAGAAGGAGTCCAACGAAAGAAATACCCAGAAAATTGAGATTAGGTTGAAGAAGCTCCTTATACAGATTTATATATATCTAATCTAAATTATTCTAATAGTATGTATGTGTATGTATATCTTCTACATATACACACACATACGAGCAGTTGTGTTTGTATAGGAAACAACGATTAGGGCTTAAGTAAAAATGAGGGGGAGAGAGAGAGAGAGAGGGGGGCGTTTGAAAGGATTTCTTTCGTCAGACGCGGAGTTTGAAAGGATTTCTTTCATCAGATTCCTTCTAAATAATAAACACGAGACATTCCTTAGGATTTCTTGGGATCCTTCCCAACAGAAAACCGTTTGGCGGTTATGTGTGCTGGTAATGGCATTTTTGTTATTTGTATATATATATATACAAATACAAATGAAAAACAAATATATCCATTTTTACAAAGTTGGCATTGAAATATTCAAATGGATTGGAAAAAAATATCAAGAACAATATAAATAATTTCAATGTTCTGGGTATTTATTCTATATCTCTATTTTATCTGTTTTTTGATTGGGAAATGATCACATCAATAAGTTGAAGAACAGTTGGAAACGAAGAGACTCTTCGATTGATTCGTTTTTAGAACCAACTAGAAATCAACAAATTCATGACATTTTATTTCATTTCAATCTTTTCTTGAAACTTCTTTCACATCCATTAATTCTTGCGCATTGAAGATTATGAATCGCCATCATCGCTAATTTTTCATACATATTCAATTGTTTTGGATTATTTGTTCAGCCTTTGAATTATCACCAGCCATTTTTATTCGATGATCATGTCGTTATTGTTTGAAAGTTGAAAATGATCCTATTATTATTATTGACTATAAGCATACTATATTAAGTTTTTTGGATTAGATACTATAAATCTGTTCGTTTCCAATTGTCAAAGAAGCTCCTTAGAAGGAGTCCAACGAAAGAAATACCCAGAAAATTGAGATGAGGTTGAAGAAGCTCCTTATACAGATTTATATATATCTAATCTAAATTAATCAAATAGTATGTATGTGTATGTATACCTTCTACATATACACACACATACGAGCAGTTGTGTTTGTATAGGAAACAACGATTA